CCTCATTCTCAGTCCTTTTCATCATCATCTTGTTATATTTTTCCTCTATCGACTGACCCTGCTAGTTGATACAATCTCTCACTCGCTCACTGATCTCTCTCTCTCTCTCTCTCTGGTCCACCCTTAAGCCGTGTTAGCAATGGTCCAGTGAGTTTCTTTCGCGTCACTAACTTCAAAAGGAAAGTCAAGGCTCAAATGTCTTTGAAAGTTATAACCAAGAAGAAGAAAAAAAAATAATAATAACCAGAGAATGGAAAATGATGAGAGATTGAGAAGATGAGAAAAAGTCAAACATGATAAGAGAACTATTTCTTAATTGATTAATCTACTTTCGATATAATTAAAACATTAGTTAGTTGTCAAGTTGAGTCATCTAATTAGTTGAAATTATGGTAACATTTTCAATAATCTTTTTTTTTTGGGTTTTCTAATATTAATTTGGTTAAATGATAGATGAAGAAAAAATTGATTACTTTCTAGATTGAGAAGAAACTTTTTCATGATAATATGATGTTAATTGAATTGGAATAATTTGCTAATGTTGTCAAAGAGAAAAAAAAAGTTTCAATGAAAAGTTGAGAAAAAGTTCTAACTTATTGTTTATCTTTTTCTTTGAAACATTTTCGAAAAGAAGAAAAAAAAAGTTTTTCTTTCCATTGAACAAACCGGTATAAATGTTTTCGAGATTGAGAAAGTTATGTTGTTGTATCTGCCATCTATAGTTGAGAGGATGAGGATGATAATGATGATGGAGAGAGAGAGAGAGAGATGAGGATGTTGTTGATGAGAAGAAGATGATGAAGGATAATGTTTAACAAGGAAACAAGTAACTTGATTATTATTATTACAACTTCGTTACTAAAGTAGACATTGATAAATTAACTGTTCTAAGGCCATCGGTAGTATGTGCGTCTTTTTTTTAAGGTCAATATCCGTTGACCGTGTTTACGATGACAACCAGAAGCTTAGTTAGTGAGTAATGAATGAAATCTTGTTCTTGACACTCATCAACCTTTTTAGTGGCCATTTGAATTGTGTGTTAATTGTATTATTGCTTTTGTCATGTTTCTCAAATTATCTGCATCAATTAAATTGTAATCTATTTAGATTTAGATAGAGTAACAATAACTTTTTACAATCCTTTTTCCTTTTCCTGTGATTTTCCCTCTCAATCACCATGATCATGATGATTATCAAATGATTTATAATCAACAATCAGTAATCATGGTAATTATTTAGTAAACAATCAACTTTAAGTTGTTACTTCATCTCAATTATCAAATATATATGATAATTTAAATGCTTCTGTATAATTGTAAACCTTAATTATTATTATAATATGATAGCATTGGCTAATTGTAATAATCATGGGATGGATAAAGTATTAATTATGATAATTATTGGGTTTACCTTGTTAATATTTTACTTTATGGCCTGAGGCTATTTTTTTGATATTTTATTATGAGTCGCTTTTTTTTAACTACATTTGCATAGGTTTGTTAAATTGATTTGTAATTGATAAATTGATGTTTGTTTGATTGTTGTTGATGATGATGATTGGGAGGTAGAGAGGAGGAGGAGATGGGGTGTAAAAGTTAGAGGATAGGGATGATGGTAGCAATTGGGATGATGATGATGATTTGTCATCTAGTTGTTGACTTTTTTATGATACTTCTTGTCTTGGTGATGAGGATTAGGATGATGATGATGATGATGATGATGATTGTGGGTATACATTTTTATGGTACTTTTTTTTACTATTGGTAAGGTAATTTGTTGAGAGTTTATTTGTAAGTGTTAAAACATTGCTACTGATGATGATGACCTTTCACCTTGATGATCTTATCCCAGGTCAGCATTTATCACTTATGGAAATGATTTGTATTCAATTGATGATGATGATGAATATTAATGAATATTTTTTCCTTTCATCTTCACCTTTAATTGATTCAATTGGTTTTCCATTATGATAACTGTTGAAAGTAACTTTTTTTTATTGATTTGTTGATGATTAACATTAAGATAATGATGATGATGATGATGATAAGCTTGTAGGTTGTGTCAATGGTTATTGAACTTTCATGTTACCTTATTAAGATAATGAGAATTGGGTGAATTGTTTCCCAATTAATTTTGATTGGTATTAATTATGGATTTGATTTGCTGCTAATTTTGAGCTTTTAATATTTAACAAAGTTCAATTGAGTTTCATGTTATATACAAACTGATTAAGATAACTGATTACTAAGAAAACATGAAACAAACATTTGATTGATTTTAAAGTGATCCTGATTTCATGATGATGATGATGATGATCACTCTTTAATAGCCAATTAGTTGTGATTTTTTCTTCATGTGTAGCACAAATTTGTTTGACAGTTAAGTAGTAGGAATGATGAGAGAGAGACTCAACTGATTAGGATGATTAAGGGATGAGGATGAAAATCATGTTAACATATTTTTACCATGAAAAAAAAGTATATTGTATCAGTGAAAAATTATTTGACACATTGAATAGCTGAGATTGTGAGCATCCGATGATGATAATGATCATCTTGATGAAATCAATCTGTGACAATTTTAATAACGATAATGATTATGATTAAAGTGATGGTGAAAACTAAATTGGGCCAATTTAAGCATCAGTTTCGTCACATTTAGTTAAATGAGTGGAAGATGATGAAGGGGATAAATTGAATGAATGAATAGGTGAAGATAATGAAGTTAAACAAGCCTAAGGCATTGAGAAGATGATGAGGATGATAAGAAGTGAGAGAGAGAGAGAAATGATTTTCTATTGTAACATTTCGAAGCCTTTTCTTCAATATTCGAATTGTGTTTTTCTTTTTTTCTCATCATCATCTATTCTGAGTGTATCTTTATCAGCTTGAACCATTTTCGATCTTTTCTTTTCTCTCTCTCTCTCTCTTTCTTATTTCCTTTATATATTCTCAATCTTCTGAATGTTTCAAGTAATTCATCTTGAAGGAATAGAAGAGAAAACTTTTCGTAATCAACCCCACCCTCTTCTCTACTCCTTTTCTCCTCCTTCTTCATCCTCACGAACTTTTTCTTCTCTTTCTCTTTCTCTCGTATTTCTTTCTTTTCTTACGTTATTAATACTTCCAATTCGAGATTCTTTTCCTTCATCCTCATACTTTCTTCCTATTTTTCATTCTCATCCCTTCTCATTTCTTTCCAATGAAAAATCGAACTACATCAAACTAAATTTTCTTTTCGTTTTTTTTTCTTCATATGATGATGAGAAACTGTTCTCTTTTCTTCCATCTTGTTGCCTCTTTCATCCTCATCATCTTCTTTCTTGGATATCGTCAATATTCATCTTCAATTTTCCAAACTTTATTGTTAGAAAGAGAAAAAAGAAAATGAAAAAGAGAAATAGAAATAGAAAGAGAAAAAAAGAGCTCCCTTTAAAATTTCTCGTTCTTTCTTTTATCACCCTTCTCATCATCATAATCTCTCTCTCTCTCTCTCTCTCTCTCTCTCTCTTCTCTCTCTCTCTCTCTTACTTTTCCTCTGGTTTCGGTTCTATGATTTGTGTGTCAGAAAACTTGAAAGCTTTTTATCTCATCTCAATCATCACATTATAAGCTATTACATTTATTTCATTGCTTCAGTTTCATTCTCTCTCTTTTATCATCCTTATTCTCATCATCATGATCATCATTCAATAGAAAGAGCACTTTTCATCTTGTTCGTGTTAGTTGAGGTAAATGCTATTACTTATCACTGATAAAACTTGTTACGGTGAAAAAAAAGTATATATACATTTACACCATTGCTTATATTCAATTCATGTTGTTGGAAAAATACTCATATTCAAACCTGGAATCCTCATATTAGTGTAAAGAAACAGCAGAAGAAGAAAAAAATTTCAAGAGAACAAGAAAAGTTCAATATTTCCAGAGCCGCCCCAAGTCCAATCCCACCCTCTACACCATCAAATATTACACTCATGAAATAATAATATATCATGAATTCACTCTCTCTCTCTCCCTGTTAAGCAAAAAAAAACACTTTCATCTCATAATTTCATAGGAATGATAAAAAGCCTTAAAGTTGCATCAACTTTTTACCTTCACAATAGTAACTATAATAACAGGGCAGACGATTAAGTAACAGCTAAATGAAAAGGTAATAATTGAATAAAAGTCAACCTTTTCCATCTCTCTCACTCACCAACTCCCTCAGTCTACTACAGTTAATATCATTTCTCCCTCTCTCTCATCATATTTTCAGTTCTCATTATCATCTATTTTTTTCTCTCTCTCTCTCCTTCATCTGCAACTCCCTCAGTAGTAAAAAAGCAATAAGGTGTTTCTCTCATTCTTTTATCATCATAAGAGTTTTTTTTATCATCTTCATGATGATGATGATAAGTTTTTACTTCAATTAAACTCGTAAATTGAAATAGTTTTTTTCTTCTCCATCTTCATCTTTTTTTCTTCTTCTTATTTAACTCACTTTACTTTAACTCTGTTATTGTTATTAAGTGACTTTTGGATTATTATTGATGATGATGATGATGTTGATTAAGATTCTGATGATAAATTTTATGGATTAAGGATGAGAGAGACTTTTTTTTCTGGTCTTTATTTCAAATTGTTTCAATTACGTTGAAGTTGTCACTCTAATTGTCAAATTAATCAATGTTATTTGGTTAACAATTGTTTCATTTATATTTATCTCTCTTTCTGGTTTAATTGTTGATTTTAATTGTGTTTGACTATTTGTATTATTAACAGGATTGATTATTTGACTTGTTGTTTGTTTGGTCATCATCCCTTGACTGTTTGTTTGTGGTTGATAAGTCATATTGTAACAATAGTATTAATTGTTGTTGATTGTCATTGATTGATTGATTGGTGAAAACAAGTTAATGAAATAATTGTTAACAATTATCTTATTGTACAATTATTTAGGTTTTTCGACTATTCTAATATTAACAATTTGCTCTGTGTTTTCATTTTTTTTTCAAGCAGTTTTGAGCTTAAGAAATACCCAAGAAGAGGAACCACCCGATCCAGCGCTCATGAGGTTAGACAATATGCTAATAGCTGAAGGAGTAGCGGGTCCAGAAAAGGGCGGTGGTCAAGCTGCAGCAGCAAATGCTTCAGCAGCCTCAGCAACCGGACAATCAGGAGGGGAAACTGCGATTGAACATTCTGATTATAGAGCTAAGCTTGCACAAATAAGATCAATATACCACCAAGAGTTGGAAAAATATGAGCAGGTAAGTAGCTGTTTTACGATTTCATTTCAAGTTTCTCTTCGTTCATGGTTCAATTTCAATAATCGAATTATCAATGGAAATCTTTTTTATTCTTTTTTTTTTCGTCGGTTTAGGCTTGCAACGAATTCACAACCCATGTGATGAACCTTTTACGTGAACAATCTCGGACAAGGCCGATAGCAGGGAAAGAAATTGAAAGAATGGTACAGATAATCCATAAAAAGTTTAATTCAATACAAATTCAGCTCAAGCAAAGTACCTGTGAGGCTGTTATGATCCTACGGTCAAGGTTTCTCGATGCCAGACGGAAGCGACGTAATTTCAGTAAACAAGCAACCGAAGTTTTAAATGAATATTTCTATTCACATTTGTCGAATCCTTATCCAAGTGAAGAGGCCAAGGAAGAGTTAGCACGTAAATGTGGTATCACGGTGTCACAGGTATCGAATTGGTTTGGTAATAAAAGGATAAGATATAAGAAAAATATTGGTAAAGCTCAAGAGGAAGCCAATTTGTACGCTGCCAAGAAAGCGGCTGGTTCACCTCCTTACCCCGGGAACATGATGAGTCCACCTCCACCACCCGGAAGTGCTTCTAGCCAAGAGGGTTGGTTGATCAATGGATGTGAATATAGCCAAGGACATTACCAATAGGTCTTCTAGCTCTCTTTCTTTCTCTCTCTCTCTTTTGTCATCATCACCCACTTCTATCTTCTTCCCTCTCTCTCTCTCTCTCTCTATCTTTTTTCTTATTCTGTATGTCATATGTGTGTGTCTCTCACTCTCTTCTTCCTCTCATCTTCATCTTCCCTTGGACAACAGCATAAAACAAAAACGAAATTGTAATGAAAAAAATACACTATGAAAAAAGTCTCTCTCTCTCTCCCTGTTTCTTTCTTTTTGTCATAATCTCTCTTTTTGTTCGAGAGAGTATTTCAATCAATTTACAGATTCAATTCTCTCTCTCTCTCTTTATCATCCCTTTTCCTCTTCCTCTCTCGCGCTATCTTTCTCATTGGACAATGTAGATTAATCACTTTAAATAATATTTAATTCCAATAAAATTCCAATGCTATTTAAAAATTTTCTCTCTCATCATCATCATCATGATACATGGATAAAAATGATATCAAAAATTGTTTCGATTAAATGTTCAGGAAAGAAGAAGAGAAGGAAAAAAAATTCGAATCTAACAAAAATTCTGGTTTCTATTATGATTATTTCTGCTTCTATTACATGAATCTCATCATCCATCATTTTTCATCCAAGTCTAACATGAACAATATTCATACGTAGATATATTTATACATATAAATATACACCTCTGGTCACTTTTTTATATGATTTATTAACTGACCAATTGATTGTGATCCTCACCATCATGTATGTTTATCATGGTAAAATTGAATCATGCTAATGATTATAAATATAATATTCATTCAACATGAGTTTGGTTCTAGAAATATTATAATTGAAAACAGTATAAACAAGCGTCACAATTTTATCTTCACAACATCAATTTAATCAGAAATCATGAGATGATAATAATAATGAGATCATGATGTTGACCAGTTGGTTGTTAATCAACAGAATTTGAATTGTTCAATAAGAGTGAGAGAGAGATGAAAATGTTACAAGATTATCATTTTTATCTAATCATTTCCGTGCCTCATTTACCGGTTCCTTGACCAATGGTCAGTTTTCCTCTCTCTCTCTCTCTCTCTCTCTCTCTCTCTCTCTCCTCACTAACACTTTTTATGTGTTAACGAGATTTTTACAATAATAATCATATTATTATTATAATAGTTGACAGGTTACAACACGTTGTTGATATGAATGGTGATATGTATTTCTAAGGTAATTCACTGAAGAAAAAGTAATCAATCATTTTTTTTATCTTTCTTTTCTTCTCTTTCTTTTTCTCTGTCTATTTTTCTCTGTGTCTCGCTTTCTTTCATTTAAGCTCATATCATCATCCTCATATCATGTAAGTGGTCACTATCATTAGGTGCTAATGAAATGTTTCGCTTTACCTTTTTTATCAATTTTATTTCAATTTTTCGTCTTTCTTGTCAATCGTAACTTTTCAAACTTATTTATTATAATATAACTTTCGAACTTTTCTTTTTTTTTGTTCTAACGTTCAATTTACATGATGGTCATCCCTCTCTCATTCTCTACCCTCTAGGTCTCTGTCTTTCGTCTTCCATGTTCTGGTCAAGACAAAACAATATCAATTGATATTATGTTATTTGTTCTCATATTGAATTATTGTTTTGTCATGAATGATGAGGATAAGGATGAAGATGAAGATAAAGATGGAAATGAACAAGAGATAGAAAACATTGTAAAGATTAGATTGGAATGAAATTTTTTTCTCTTCTTCCTCCCCTTGATCATCATCATCTTTTCTCTCTCTCTCTCTCTCTCTCTCTCTCTTCTTTCTTTATCTGAAAGATGGAGATGAGGATAAGAAGATAAGTGTGGATGAAAGAAAACAGATGATGATGATTTGTTCATCTTCAACCCAATTTATATTGGAATAACAGTAACACACCGAAAGATAAAAGGCAAATCTACCACCTACTCACCCACCACCAAAAGGAACATGATAAAGATGATGAAAAAAAGAGATTATTTCTTCTCTCTCTCTCTCTCTTCTCATCTTTATCTTTGTCTTATTATTTTATTTTCATTTTATTTTCATCTTGGCCATTGGCTAAACCACATTAACTTTTTTAAATTGGATCTATATATTCAGTTCCAAGGGAAGAGAAAAACTTTTATAGGGTATTATAGAAAGTGAAAGAGATGATGATGATGATGAGAGAGTGAGTGAGAGAGAGTGAGAGAGAGAGAGTCCTTATCATCATCTTGTTGTTGTTTGTTGTTCAGTGTTACTTTTGTTTTGCTTTTGCTTTTTGATTCCATGGTTTCAAAACATGGTAACAAGCAGAAAGTGAGTTGCAAAGGATTCTTGTTATTATTACATTAACTCTCTATAAAAATAGCCCATAGAACTGGTCATTTTATTATTAATATTATTATCTTGCTCCCTTTTCTCTCTCTCTCTCTCTCTCTATGTGTGTGAGTCTTTTTTTTACCTTGTCTAATAGTTTTCTAAGGGTCAGTGGTAAAAAAAGAGAGAAAAAATTATAAGAGCAAAGGCGAAAAGTTACCAAAGGTCAGGTTATGGATAGAAACAGACAAAAGAGAAGCAAAATCAGTCAGAAGAAGATGAAGAAAAATAAGAAGAAGAAAATGATGATGATGATGATGAGAGCATCTGAAGATATAAGAGTTGACGGGAGTAAAGAAGATCGTCCATTCAATGATTTTTTTTTCTCTTCTTTTCTTCATCTTCTCTTATTTTCGCTATTTTTAAAACCTGTTATTAAAAAGGTAAAATTTGTGATACTAAGGATTATTTAGTTGAGCCCCTGACCTGAGTGGGGAGGGAGGAGAAGGTTGAGAAAAGTAAGCGAGAGAGAAAGAGAAAGAACGAAAGAGAGAGAGAGAGAGAGCAATGAAGATGATGATGCTCACTTGTATCGGGGGAATACGAAAAAAACCTTTATCACAATGGGAGACAAGAAGAAGATGATGATGAGTTATAAAGTGAGCAGAGATGATGAAGGAGCAAAGAGGAATCTGTTTGCCCGAAAACCAGTCACAGGTTGGGCTCAAGGTATAAGTTGAATGTGCAAGAAGAAGCTGCAAACTAGAAGCAAGAATAGCCCATCGGAATCCTTGTGGTTATCTTAAAATGCTTCAAGCCCTTAGGGCAACACGATTATTTCTTCTCTTTTTTTCAACAATTTCTCAGACAATTTTTTCTCTTCCTTTTTCTGCTTTTCCCTCATAATCATCTCTCTCTCTCTCCGTTTCGATTCTCTTCATCATCTTCTTGCTCGTTATTTTCTCTCTCTCTCTCTTTTCTCTAGCATTTTCTTTACCTGTGAGTTTTATCTTAAGTCAAACTTTATTTCTTCTTAAATTCATTCCAATTTTCGTCGACTGAGTAGTTTATCATCAGAGTTTTTTCTAGTCTTACAATTTCCATACTCTCATTCACACTATACACTTTTCCTTATCTTCATCCTCATCTTCATCATCTTCTAGACCCCCTTATGTCTATCATTATGAGTTTCTGGTAAATTATTTTAACCTCCTCCGGTTAAGACATTACACTTTTTACCTGGAATTATGAAGATAATGAAGACTATTTCTCTCTCTCTCTCTCTCTCTCTCTCTCTCTCTCTACATTCTCACTCTATCATCATCACCATCATTACATTATCACTCTCTAAATGATTAACTGCCAATTGAATTGACAAAAAAAAAGAGAAAAAGTTTCCTATTCAATTAGCTGCATCATCTCATCATCATCATCATCATTAGATACCTCAAGTTACCTGAATGTAATTCATATTCAATAAGATGATTATTTATCAGAATAATAATTTAAATGAATAACTAACCTATTCTCAGTTAGTTTAATCATCATCATTGTTAACTATTAGTTTAAGTGATTTCAAATTTCATCTAATCAACTTTTCTATGCTTGCCAATCAAACGTTTATTATTAAATTGTTATGGTTTATAATATGATATTAGAGATTAAATTGTTTTCTTATTATTATTATTATATTTTTTTTTTTCAATTTTCATGATTAGCATTTTCAGTTATATTATTGAATTGATTGGAAAATTGTTCATCATTGTTAACTTATACTCTCAATTGTTGATTAGCAATCATGATTATGTTGATTATTGACTTTGATTGTTTTCCTTACGGAATCTTTGAAATTTTATCTTGTTGACCATGAATGGTTTCAATTACAATTATTAAATCACAATTAGATTCACTAGAGTATCAGATATCAGGTAAGTGTTGGTAATTTATTACCAACAAGATAATAATAATAACTTATTGTTGATTAGATTAGGATAATAATCAATGAGATTATTTTATTTTATTTCCCATTTTTGGGATTGGAAAAATATATTAATACAATTTGTCATTTTAATTGTTGAGTTAATCATTTTTTTTTGCTGCTAACTTCTTGTCGTTTAATTGTTACTTTTAGATAATCAGCTAAATAAGTTGTGATTTAAGATTGTGTTGGTGATAAATCAATCTCACTCGATAATTATTATCAAAGTGTAACTGATTGTGATCAAATTGTATGCTTGTTATCAAACAAGTGATTAACCAATTTAATTGCTTTCTGATCAAGATTTAAATTTTGTCAGGTTACCAGTTTTTTCAACACAAAATTTGGTTAATTTACTTTTCTGGTTTTCACTGGTTCCTCTTTTTATATATACAACATAATACAAGGTCACGCGACTTTTACTCTCTCTCTCCTCTCTCTCTCTCTCTCTCTCTCTCTCTCTCTCTCTCTCTCTCTCTCTCTCACTCATCTTCTCATCATTATTATCATCATCATCTTCTGGTAATCTGGACACGTAAATTTGACAGAAAAGAAGATAACATGATGAGATGAGGAAGATAATGATGATTATGATGATCATGGTCACTCTATTTTACCACTGGTTCTTTCATTGAACCAACATAAACTTAAATTATTTCTCATCATCTTTTTTTTGACGCTTTTTGATAGGTTGATACAAGTCACGGGAAATGTCAAATGAAAAAGTCTGATTGGCCCACTAATTTATCTACCTGTTCATCCTTCTCATCATCATCATCATCGAGCCTTTCTAATGAGCCTTGTAAGTCCTACATTTAGTGAGAGAGAGAGAGAGAGAGAGAGAGACATGGAGTTAGTAAATGATAATCTCGCAACAAAAAAAATATATACACAAAAGTCATTAACAGTCATGATTACATGATGATGATAATGATGATTGCTTAAAAAATGGGCTGGCACTAAGTTTTAGCCTAAATGGGATGAGCTTGAAAATAGAAGCTCAAATTATCATGGGTTTATTTACCTTGACAGAGTGATTCCTCCTTGTCAAACAAGATTGACTCCCTCTCTCCCTCCTTCTTCCTCACATCATCATCATTATCATCATCATACCCTCCTATTTATTTACCTGTATATTTACAAGGT